ACATAAATTATCCTCAGTTTTCCCCTTTGAGCCTAATGACATTTTTTCTTTTGTTTGAACACTTATTTTAGCCTAGACCCTTATAATAATATTTGCAACAATTCTTGCATCCCTCATTCCTAAGTGCATAAGTCAATTTAGATGTGTATGAGCCACATAGTGAAGAGGTAGTCAAAAAAAAAACGATGAAAAGTTCAAAAATATGATTGTACTCATCTCTTGCCTAATAAAGGGAGAAGAGAATGAAGTGTTGAACAAAAGAAAACTTTGATGGAGAAGGGGTATAGTAAGTGAAGGAAATAAGCTCTGAATGGCATTCCAGATTGACTTGTGCTTAGGGTGATTTGAGCTCTATACTTATCCCATATCCACCTCCCTAGCCATACATTACAAGCTATAAAGTCCTATTGATCTTTAATATAGTGTTAGCCTACATTAGTTGAGAGAGGGGATGACAAACTTATGGGGGTTATTATATTTTGAATTTTGCATGAATATTAATTTATCCAAATTGTACATATCAAGTGAAGAGATGACACACACACACGGATTTAACTAATGATGAGGTTGCATTTGAATTGAGACATGAACTGAATAATATTTATGTGTTGCTAGAGTTATGAATATGGATTAACTTGAGGATATTAAAAGTAATTAATGAAATGGTGCATTGAAGTCTAATAAATGTTTTCATGTTTACGTTTTGTGTGTTTTATGTTTTGCTCGAGGACTAGCAAAATCTTAAGTTGGGGGGTGTGTAACTTATTATATAGAGTTATTTTTGACCATTTTGGGAGCTTAAGTAGCTAGATCTTTGAGATTTTATGTTCGAATTTTAGCATTATAGGTGTTTTTTTAGTTTAAGTTTGATTATTTGTTAAGTGATTAATTATAGTTTTTTAGTTAATTTTAGGTTATTTTATTTTAAATTACTTTAAGAGTAGTATTGCTAATTTCTCCTATGGCTTTTATAGGAAATTGATGAAAAAGATCATTTGATGAAAATCAGTGCAAGTATGGTGATAGCTTCATTCGTATATGTTTCAATATTTGACCATATCTCTTTCTAAAAAACTCCAAATGAGGTGATTCTTTGACCAATCAAATTATAAGAGAAGGGAAACAATTTTTATGTTCACCATTGGCCCAGTTATGATTGGATCATGGTCAAACATTTGTCAATTCGGACCACTGCAGCAGGATGTAAAGACTGAACATGATGCAGATATTTGGAGCAAATCTTTCATCCAGAAGTCCAATTGATTGATTTTTAATCCATTGGAAAGTTAAGAGACCGGGATAAAACTTTTATGTTTACTACTTTGCCTAGTTCTTAACATATCAGGGTGAAACTCATGTTTGAAATTGATAGACTGCCACAGCGCTGGGAACAAGGCTGCAGCGTTGATGAAGGAAGCACACATACAATTCCAGAGAGCTCAGCGCTGCAGCGCTGGAGAAGTAGCGCCGCAGCGCTGCGCTACTTCCTTAAAAAAATTAAGGATTAACGGATTTTGCAAAATTAGTTTTTTGGAGCCTATTTAAGGAGACTTTTTCAGAGATTTTTGAGGCAGCAGAGAGGGCAGCAAAGGAGGCAGCAAGAAACTATTTCTGGAGATTTGGAGCCAAGACAAAGCAAGGAAACAAGAGAATTGGAGAGAGAATCAAGATCATACATCTCTAACTATTAGTTTTCTCTCTTACCTTTGTGTTTTTTTCTTATTTTCTTTGACTGGATTCATGGCTAATTTCTTGGATATTGTCTTTATTAGATTTATGAACTAATTTATTTTTCTAGGATTGCAATTGAACTCACATGTATCTAGATTTTAATCACTTTCTGCTTATTTTCATGGATTTGATTGTTTATCAATTTGTTCTTAATGCTTTTATTGCATGGCCACCAATTAATTGATCTAGAAACCTAAAAACTTGGGAAAGGGAGTTTAGTGTAGATTAAAATTGGGATAGCATATGATCATATTAATGATTTGCGTATAGGATAGGGATATATTTATAGGCCATATGTAGCCAAATTAGACTGAACTTAATGAGTTTGTTTAATTTCAATTCACATAGGGATATAGTGTTTTGGTTAAATAGATATTTTATAAGATGAGTTGGGAGACCCTTATAAATAATTTAGGACTCTAGGTTAGCAATTCAAACCATTGAGATAAGTTAAGGAAGAAAGGTAAGATTTAGATGAAGTGTGAGGATATTGTAATCCTAGGTTGTTTGATTGATATTTATTTGAGTATTTATTTTTTGATTTTTCTTAATTTAATTCTGCTATAACTTAGTTTGATTTGATATATTTTGATATTGTTTGTGTGGATAAGATTAATTTGCAATATTTTAGTACTTAGTAACTTTAGATCATTCCCTGCGGGATCATACATATTGCTTTACTATCTATTCGATACGTATACTTGCGTGGTAGAATTTTAACTGACAGTCACAAAGTAGACAAAAGTTACAGGTACGGACAACTTCATTAAACACAAATCAAGCAAAAGAAGAAATGGACTTTGTTGAACTTACATCATCCAAGTAGAACTCACACTAGAGCCCACATTTACAACCCCAACTTCACAAAGATTGCATGGGTTGTGCCCTAGAACCTGAAATTTGTTATGCCCATTTTGGCAAATCTTACCTCACCTTGATAGATGAAAGAGAATTGAAAATCTTAGCAGAAAAACCAATACAGCAAAGGGAGATTCGCATTAAAACAAAAGAATTTTGGGCAAGTGATGAGTGTGCCAGCAAATGGGTTTCAACATTTGCTCTTAGGAGAAGAATGGGAAGAATGGGAAGAATTGGGGAAAGGAAGCCACGCACATGGTTAGGGATTAAATTTAATTAATATTTTAAATTTAATTAATAAATATTTTTTTAATTCATTTACAGTAACACAATCAAGGTCGCGGCTTTGATTTCTTGGCACCGCGGTGCTGGGTTTTTGCTATAGTCCAAAGCTTTGGAAAATACCCCGCTCCACGGCCTTAATTTCTTGGCACCGCGGCGTTGGTTTTTGACAATAGCACTACAGCGCCACTCTTCCAGTGCTGTAGCACTGAGTTCTCTGGAAAATAATCTATTGGTTCCTTTCACTAGGGCTGAAGCCTTATTTTTAATATATTTGTTAAAATTAAATAGAAGAAACTGCTTGTCAAGATGGTAAAGGCCTTGGCTATTTTCCTTCCTTGGGTTTGAATCACATCAACCACAAAATTTATTTATTTTTTAATTATTTGGATGGGTATTTAATCGAGTCCAGGTAACGAGTATCCAAAAAGTGATACCCGTACCCTACCGGAAACCGATTCAGGTAATGGTTTCACTACCCAAGCCCGTTTATCGAGTACCCTAACTTAGTATAACCGGGTCGGGTAACTGCGGGTACCCTATAATTGGGTACCCGTTGACATCCCTATCCGGTTGTAATTTAATAAATGAATAATTATTAATAAAAATAAACTTTAATATATTTATATTAAACTAAAATCAATTCTTTTGTTATTTAATTATAATATATTGTTTATTAATTACTAACTAAACTTATTACTTTGTAAAATATTAATTACTTTTTATAATAAATATAAGTGTATAATATGTTAATTTTAATGGTATATGTTTATATGTATTACTTATATATATAATTAATGAAAAATTTATAAATAAACATATTAACATATAAGTTATTTTTTATTCAATAAAGTTTTAAAAAATGTAAAAAAATAAGCAAAGGAAAACATATTTACGTTTTTAAATATTATAAACTTCAGTATGTATATATTTCTTTTTATTAATATCTATTTTTTTATAAAAGATTAATAAAATTTATAAAAAAAATTTAAAATATTCTAAGTAAAAAAATTTTAAAAATAGTATTAGCAACAGAATTTTCCAATGGAATGTTCCGTTGGGAAATTTTCATTGGTAATACCTTTTTCCAACAAAAAATTCCATTGGAAACTTTAACAGGCTTTAAATTTTTCTAGGTGCTTAATTTTTCCGACGGATTTCCAACGGATAATTTCCGTTGGAAATTTCGTCGGAAAATTTGGAGGGAGTAATTTTGGTGTGTGCTAACAAAATCTCCAACGGATTTTCAATGGAAATATTCCGTTGGAAATCCGTAGGAAATCTATTGGAAATATTCACAAAAATTTCTATTGGAAATTCGTTGGAAAATTTCCAACGGAATTTTTTCCGCCGAAAAAAATCTGTTTTCTTGTAGTGAATGTATCTAGTTGTAAAATATATAAGAAAGGAATCTTCGTATTAAACATAGGTTATGCTAGGAGAATATAGCAGAAATCTGTACTCCAATAACTAGAGAATATAATGCTTTCCAATTATTATTAGAAAGATTACTTGAAGAACATGTAAACAAAAGGATATAAATATTTATATATAGGATTAGTTTAATTAGGCTTCTCTTAAACCCTAAACCAGAATAGGTTTAGAATGCTTCCTAATAGTTTGCCTTGTAGATTTTGGACATAATATATCTATATATTTTATATTAAGAATAGTAGAATCAAGCCTGTATGAAGGGCCACTGTAATTTCATTGTAGTCCAAAATATACAGATTTTTACTGTATTTGTTATTGTAGGTAGGCCCTAATTATTGCTCCTCAACATTCTTGTATTAAGAAAATACCAAATCCTGAAAGTGCTTATGTTAGTGACCAGCCATTTAGTGTTGCAAATTGAGCACAGTTGCTTGTACAAGTTGCTTTTACTGCCCGTTAAGAAATAATCGGTAAGAACTTGCATTCATTGTCTCATTCTGCACTCTACCAACCGTACAACCACGGAGCTCATTGGCAATTAGATAGATAAATAAGTATATTCATCCTCTTATTGAACTTGCATTCAACACTGTGACAGGTTTTTACATTGTTTATGCAACCATCACGTTAGTTTGTCTGATTTGTGCTGCATTTGTGATTATCTCTGCTGGCAAACAAAGAGAAAATGAATTGTTTTAACTGTTTTTTATTTCCCATGGAGGAAGAGATATAATTCTGCAACACAACCATTGCCGGCAAGTTGATTTCCTTCATATGAAATCTCACAGCAAAAGGGCAAAAGGAATTCAACTTCCAAGCATTCCAAGTACCATACATCTGCTAACTGTATAAAGATATATCCTTTGTTGTTAAGTTCAGCAGATGATTTAAATGCCAGAGCTAATACAAGAACACTCCTTTAGCTTTCTTGAGCATGACAAAATTTGACTTGTCTCACTCCAAAGCTATTAGCAGTCTGTACCAGGGTTGGAGTAGAACGTCTATTAAAAGTAGGTGCTCCATTTGATTCAATGTGGTGCTGTCGGATTAAATTGGCATTGGGGTTCAATGAATCACAAGATCTCCTGCGACTGGTAAAATTTCCAGAAAAAACAGAAACTTTCAGTTTATGAAAAGTATGAACTATATGCATGGCTCAACACAAGCATGCCTATATGCACACTTGAGGTAGCAATAGGAAGCAACAGACAACAAATATTGGCTAATAAAAACTGAAGAAACATTTTATCAGAAAATCTGTTTCATTCTTCCCTTACTTGAGCATGTTTTACTAGTTTTGGACATGTAATCAATATCTAAGCATGCAAAAAAATAAAAAAAAAAAAAGGAAAACAAAAACCAAGAAAGCATTCAGAAAGTGTCTAAGGTACCTATGACAGTCTAAAGTACAATTGTGATTAAACTGCAGTTCTTCCCTTTGTCTAACAGTTGCAATTTGTAATTGTTAACTTAAATGAAAAACGTTTTAAGTTCAATTATGATTCTGTCATAACATGTACTTCAACAAACTATGTGTGAGATGGGGAGAAAAGAGCAGATTACTTGTGACTGAACTCCTAATACCCTATTTGTCTAAAATATGAGTTTGCACAAAGCAATTAATGCTTCATTCTCTTTGTTGAACTCCCCCTATAGGGACAAAATCATCTCTACAAGGTTAACAGAAGTGCAAGTCCAGAATTTAAGTAAACACTCCATGATCTAAGCTTTCCTTCTAGCCTAACTGGTTAATTCGGCCACTCTTAAACTGTCTTTATAATAACAGAACTCCAAAATCCAAATAGTATTAAAAGAAGAATATTAGAACAAAGAGCTGACTGTTATATCTTCTACAGTTCTCTTCCTTCCTAATCCTGAAAATTCATTTTGCTGGACAGAGTAACCAGGGATAGAAAATTGAGAAACAAATGGCAAAGCACTTTTACAGTTTCAAAATTTCTTTTGAGCAAAAACAGGGAAGAAATGGAAACCATGAATATGATATAGATCACACAAATTAACATGAAAATTTAAAAAAAAAATAAAATAAAAGGGAATGTGTTTGATTCTTCATAGCATAATGAATCTAGTAACAGATAAATCAATCAATGAAACGAAAAAAAAAGTTCAAAATGTTATAACCAAAAATAGAAGAATATATGACTCTAAGACTTTCTTATTCCTTCTTTGATAGCATTTCCTTGTTGGTGAAAATCTGGAGCGTTCTCGCGCTCATCATGAAGATCAAAATGCAAAATCAAACTCAATGAATCGAGTTACATAGTAGAAATAACCTTGAGATGATAGAGGAACCACAATGACATGCATGGCTGTATTGTTAGGAGGAAGATGCAGCCGAAGGGGATAAAGCTTGCCATTCAAAGGATTACGAGAACAAATGCAAACCTCCTCACTGACCCCTGCCTCTTCCTTCAATAGTTGCTTCAATTCCTCAACCCCACTACCCTTAAAAGTGAAGGTACGTTCTCCAATTGCCTCATCAACATTCCCATTATCATCAAATACCTCATAATTGATAACCCTTCCTTCAAATACCACTGGTGAACCATGAAATGAGTCATCAGACTGCATAAAAAAAAAAAATTCAAACCATGAGAAACCAAACTCAAGATTAACTGTTGTACCATAAAAATAATTTCATTTCTCAAACAAAAATCTTATATGCCATACCTCAAGTCTAGACATTCTAAGGCCCTTAAGTGAAATTTCTGTAGGCGAACCCGGATCAGAAGGTGCACTATCAATTGGATTAACTGCAGGCTGAGGCGGCGGCACAGGAGGAGGAGGAAGAGGAGCTGGAGCTTGTTTTCGAAATTCTACAACATCAACATTCCAAAGAATCCAATCTTGCGTTGCGGTTCTGTGAGGAACATCATGCGTAATGTGATTCCTCCAAGGTGGTAATCCTCCATTTGCACGCAGATATTGTCCATAACGAGTCCTGAGCCTAACCTGAACACCATCTCTAATAGGCTCCCATTCTAGAGAAGAATCCAATCTTCTCGGTAGAGTTTGCAGCACTTTTTTCCCTGTCATTCCTAGAAGGAATGGCATGTTGGAAGCTGTTAGGTATTTTCCGTAACAACTTTTGAGACGAATGCAACTTGCATTTGATTCCAGAATCTCCACCGTCCATTTTGCATTCCTAACTGTGCCATCTCTGTCTTGGCAAACAGTTTCCTGATCATCGTCTGCCAGTAGGTATTTGTCATGGTGGCTACGTAGACGAACAGAAGTTGCTTGTTGGAAGATTTCCATGCCACTCTAAATATCAATATCACATCGAATACTTATAAGGAAATGATCAAAGTCACCGGGTATCAAAATCCATGTTATTGATCAATGAGATGGGATTTACAAGCAAATCTTTAAATCAAGCCATAGTTGTAAAAGTATTAATCTAGTCTAATAGCCCCATCCATTTCTCAGGTCAATCCTTTTGTCATGAAAATCATTCTGATTTTCTGTTGAGTATTATTTTTTCTTACCTGAATCCAAGCTGAATAAGATCCAAATCAAGAATAGACCAGAAGTTGTTTGGGAGAAAGGAAACCTGATCAGGACTGGTTTTAGATTGTTGAGGAGGAAGGGGAGAAAGAAGCTTAAGGCGGGGAGTTGCTGCGATTGTAAACCAGATTTCCTTGCTATTCTGGGCTGTGCTAAAAAAATGGTTTATGGTGCAATGTTGAGGGAATCAGCGTGCCTTTGGTGTCCACTAATTTTGGCATGTTAATTTGTTGTGTGGTTAATTCTTGGGCTACTTTTGTTAATCTTTCTTCTTTCCAGTGCATTTTTTGGGTAAAGCAATTAATCTGTGTTAGTATGACTTCATTATTATGTGAAATTTTCATTTATCAGAATTCTATTTTGATTTTACTATTGTGATTGACAACTATTATACGATAGGTTTATTAGTATTTTCATTTTAGACTTGAAGAATAGAGATTTGAACCCTACTATTTAAACAAGGAAATCATGCATTAACCAATAAGTCAAATGTTCGGTTGCAATTTTGGTTTACTAGTATATTAGAGTGATTTTATCATTGATTAGTCTTTATAGTTTTTTTAAAAGATATTTTTATATTTAATCTCAATTTTTTTTTTTAATTTAGAGAATTGACTCGACTCTTTGAATAAGAAATCAATAATAAAGCTATGAGCCAAATACTCAAATACCAGTATCTTAAAATACCCACGTGAAATAAAAATTATCATAAAGTAGCTAGCATTTGTATATCATTGGTGGAATATATTTCTAGCTTTAATTTACCATGAGAGCAAGGTAAACCAAAAATTAAGCATAGGGGTTTAGAATATTCTAGAAGAACATTATTTGGGTAGGTCATTTTCTCACATAATACTTTTGAGGCTATCTTTTTTCATATAAAATTTTGTGTTTTGTTACTATTCCCATAAGGGAGAAAGGTGTTAAATTTTTACAAAAAAGACAATAGCATCTTTATAATTTTGACTAAAAAGACAATGAAACTCTTATATTTAAAGCCTTATTTAATTTTTGCATTTGAACTTTAAACATTCTCCACACACTTTCTTGAGATTAGGAACAATATATACCAAAAAGGAGAAAAAAAATTGATGATCATGTGCACTGAAAATTTTGTTTTCTGTTAACAGTAAAAAATAAAATTCATTTTTATCCAACAAATCAATCGAGTATTTCATATAGGAAAGAAATACAATTACATTCAAAGTTCTCCACTTCTTTCCTAAGCCTCTTAAAACTGTATAGAACAAAACTAAAGGCAATTGCTGGGATCAACTTAAGGATTATAAAAAGTTTTAAATCAGAATTCATATTTTTCCATTACCTCTGTTTTCTTACTAAAACAACAAGTCTTAGACATAATCAAAACAAAATGTAACTTTGAGTACAGTAAAAAAAAATGCATGCTACCCCATTAAGCATTTTTTTTTTTGACAATTCCAAAATAGACTTCAAATATTGATTTCATTCCATCAGTCTCTTCCAAGCAAAAGCAAACATAACAAAAATCTTGCTAATTCTCCTTTGGCTGAAGTTTTACGAATTCTCTGAACATAGGATTCTTTTATCCACCACTGCCTTCAAATATAGACATTATTGAGATTCGACTTTATGTTTAAATATAAAAATAATAAAAAAAATTAAAATATAAAGAAATTAAAAAATAAAATAAGTATTTAATAAAAAAAACAACCGAATCCCACAAGATTAATATTTGTATTTTTTATGTAATTTTCAAATTAATTGTAAACATTTATAAGTTTAAGTATTGCATACTTTGTGCTAAATATCATAATCAAAAGTCAATTAAATCCAAAAGGCTAGTGATGAAGCAAGAAACTCGAAAAGAGAATAAGACGGTCTAAAATCCTGCAATCGAAATCTTTGTTTTTTCTCTTTTAGGATTTGTCAAATCTTCAACCATTCAAATGTCTAATTCACACAGTGACTGAATAAGACCTTCTCAAAAGTAAGATTTTACTTGTGTTAATAAGTTTTGTTTCTAAAATGAAAAGATTAAAAGTTCTTCCTGAATCTTATTTTTGTTAAACAAAGAAAATTATTTTTTTTTCTTATTTTTATGAAACCACTAAGAAGTGGTTGAAAGCTTAGAGTTTTAGTTGGCTAACATAGCATATTTATATAGCCAAACTAAGTTGTAACCCTAGATACAACAATTGTATTTTTATTCAATTAATTTCTTATGAACTTAATTAATTTCTCACTTTATTTTGGTTTATTCCAATTAATCTAACTTAATTGATTATCCTTATTTAATCTTAATCATGTTACTTAATGTGTGTAACCTATTAGGCTTCTAACATGTTGGCAATAAATATAAATCCTAATCAAATATCAAATTGATAATTAATTTATATTTTTATATTATAAACGGCATCTAACAATACATTATGATCACCAAAATATTCAAGGTGTCAATTATAGAATTTGACCAAGCCCTTCAGTGATAAGTCTCTTAGTGCAATATGGTCCTTTCATCAAATATTCTGGATATATCACAAAACATAGCCCAGTGTATGCTTATGACATTTCATTTTAGTTCTCATAATTTATGATTAACTTTATGAATTTAGGAAACTAACTGTCCTCAGATTCATCATGCTTTGGCCAAAGACTTTATATAAGTTAATCAAGAATTGAGAACAACTGAGATACATCTCCTCATATCACTTGGGGTGATGAATCCTCTCTTGACTACTCATTCACTTTTGCATGCTTCATGACATACCCAAAAACATCATGTTTAAGCATCTAGTTGCCTCCAAGCCCCTAAAAGTGAAATTAGAATATGTCATTCTATATATAAGATGACTTAATGTTTCAAGTCCGAGGACTAGTTGGATAACTATCACATGAGAACATATTTCATAGACACTTTATTATTTTTTTATTGTGTTTTACTAATCATAGTTTAGCTGTAGTTTAATTGATCATGCCTTGACTAGAATTGATCACAACTTTAATGCTTATTTAAGGGTTGAGCAAGTTTCTTTCACATTAGGCTCAAAGATAACCTCCCTAATGTAAAGTTAAGAAGTCCTCTTTGACCACATATAGTAATGTGAAGGGTGAATAATATGCAATATGCATATAATTATTGTTACTATAAAAAAGCTTAAGTATAATATATCACTAGCAAAGTGCTAGCTTAGAATAGCTTATAAGATAGATGAAAAGAGTAAATTAAAGTTGTTGTAAAAACCTAACCAACTATGAAGTCCCATGGAGAAGAGTCATTATTCCTAATATTTGTATCTAATTTTCCTCATACTTTGTGTAATATACTATTCCAAAAATGACATCTAGACTAATGCATTTATAAAATTCTAAAGTAACAAATAAAACCCCTTATTGAATTTTTTTTAATTAAAGAATTAAGCTTATAGTAAAATGTTTCTTTGTAAATTATGTAAATGTTATAAAGTTCATAAGAAATAGATTAAAGAAGACTTTATGTAAACTTGATAAGATGGAGAGTCAAGAAGCCATGGAGAACATTAAGGAGATTTGACTAAAGGTCTTATAAAGATTACGTATGTAATTACCTAGTTTTAAACCAATTAGTTTTCTTTTGATGGCTCAAGGAAACTGAATTAGGCAAAGCCCATAATCATCCAAGTAGTTTGCATGCTAGGATTTATTTATATTTGTAAGGGCTAATTGCAAGGGTTGGTTTTGATCATGAGGATATTGGTTAGTGGTGGAACAACAGTTTAGTTAGATAAAGGGTTATTGAAAATATTAGATTTGATCTTGTTTTCAATATCAATAAGGTCTTCAATAGCATTCTTAATGTTGATACAAACATCAATTTAATAGCCTATTCTGTGGTGGTAAGTAGAGTATTTGTTGGTATCTATGTAAGAAGGTAACGACTAAAAAGAGGTTTTGGGGGAAAAAGTTGTAACTTAGCATTTTTTGGAGCTTTTTTAGGGCTTTGAAAAGTGTGATCTCTAGGTCGTGTATGGGCAATTTTTGTTGTATCTAAGGAAACTAAGGTTGTTTACCTGAAAAGTTCCAATTATGTTGGTAAAGTTACTCCTTCTTAATTTCTTGTTAAATGACTTTTTCTCTAACTTTCCCTATTAGTAGCATCCTCAATGTTGATTTCTATATCATAAAGCTGCTCAAAGGTAGTACAGGGCAATGCAACCAATTGATCACATAATACACTAGCAAAAGATCGTTCACAACACTTTTGATTGAATTCTTTTTTATTTGTTGGGAATTCATCAGCATGATTTTGGTTTTTCATCAAGTCAAAAACCGATCAAAGGTTTCCTATGGATTTTGTTTGGTGGTTATAGAATATTGCTTCAAAAAAAGCATGTCATCTCCTCCTAATCTCTTGTCATGGCGTCTAGCTAGTTATGGAATCAAATATATTCTACTTCATAAAGAAGGTTTCAATTAAGTGCTACTTAGTCAAGGCTCTAAGTTGTAGTACTACAATAAACTACTTTAGGTGTTTCTTGTGGTCTCTAATTCCATCAAACTTATCAATAGTGAGCATTGTGAAAATGGTGAATAGATGGCTTTCAGGTTTCACATTGAATCTATAACACCTTAATCTTTTGTTGTGTAAACTAAGTTAGCTAAGAATGATTTGGAGAATTTATGATATCATTAAGGACTTTGGTGGTATGTTAAGTAAGCTAAGTGTATAAAGCTTATATTATGACACTTAGGCTCGTTTTATGAGAAATGGTGAATGAATCCTATAGCTTGAGGTTTGGATTTGAATTTGATGTTAAATTTGAGGATATATGTATATGGATTGGAGTTATATGAATTGTTTATAGTGTGATATCATTAAGGAATGATTTTGGGGTGATAAGTTGGGATTTTTGGAAGTTTAGAAACTAAAAATCTACCTATAAAAGAAAATGAATTGATACATTTGCCAATATATTGATACATTCTTCACAAGATGAACAACATAAGATATACAAGAGATTTTCTATTGATACATTTAAGGATGAATCGATAAATTTAAGTAAAAATGAATATCTATCGATACATTATCAAAATGTATTGATAGATTTAAAGCAA